TTGTAGGTCAGTTGAGGTTGGTTTTCTAGTCCAGCATTATAAGCAGTAGCAACAGGTATGGCATAATTTTGTTGATAATGTGGGTTTCCCAGTGACACTAGTGAACGAACTGGAATGGATTTGTGTGCAGGTGTTTGTGATGTGTTAGGTGAGCTTTTAGTATTGAATTGTTGAGTGAAAGGAGAGTTGGTGTTGGTGACATCAGTAAAAACTCCAGTGTGATAAAGTGATGCCACATTTGCAGAGTTGTTATACAGATCTGTTGTGTTGAGTTTATCTAATCTAAGCTCATATTTTTATAACAGGAACTGAGCTTCCTGCAAGGATACAGTATCAACTTTGGATTCAAGTCTAGAGGTTAAATTGACAATAACCGCATCATATTCTGGTCCTAGACCATCTAATACATATTGCAACAAGTCCTCATCAGCCACAATCAAACCACTAGCAGACAGACTTTGTGCTATTTCCTTCATTCTTTTAACATAATCCGAGATACTCATATTCCCTTTTTGAGTAGTCTGTAACAGATTCTTAAGGTGCAAAGCTCTAGCCTTAGAATCATTTAGGAATTCAAGATGTAAAGTATTCCAAATTTCAGTTGAGAACCTACATTTCGAAATTACTCCAAACATATTGTCGGAAATGGAAGCTAATAACCAACTTACAAGAAATTTATCTGTACACTTCCATAAAATATAGGCAGGATTCACCTTATTATTAACCAAACCATCATCTATCTTAAGTTCACCTCTAATTTGCCCGAACTCATTTTCAATGTCTGAATTCGATACAAGCAAAGGAGAAGGACAGGGAACTTTACCAATAAGATGCTCCTCCAATTCATGCGATCCTACAGCAAAGAGAACCTGTGAGCTCCAGAATCTATAGTTGTTTCTTGTGAGCTTTGGACTGATAGTTTGCAAACTTGAAGGTAAAGCTGAGGATGCACGATTAATAGATTCTTTGAGCAAGTGTGAATTGGAGCGATAGATTGACTCTCTTAGGAGTTCTTCTACGCTTTTAAGCGATTGAGTGGAACTAGAATCAGTCGCCATTGATGTTAATCAGTAGCTCTGATACGAAGTCAAAGACGAAAAGAAACAAGTCAAAGACAAAAAGAAATTTGAAAGAGAAGAGCTGGTTAACTGAGTTGATTCAGTAGTATTTCATTAATTGACTTTAAGCTATAGTTTCTTCTATTTATATAGAGAAGAGCAAAATGGCACCGCATGATAACTGTACCTAATTACAAACCAGTTTGATAACTTTGCCTAATTACAGAACTATCTTTTTCAACATTTGGTCAACAAATATAATTGCCTATATAGTTGTTTAATAGGTTTATCATCACTTAATGCTTAAGTGTGTTATTTGAAGTTGTTCCGTTGAAAATTCAATTGAGCGTCGTAGCCAGTTAGAGTGCTATATATGTTGTCAGCACTTATATATAGGTGCACCATTGATCAAGCATTCACAATGTTCTTGTATACTTTCCATTTGTGTAATAATACAAGCTAGTTGCTATATGAGCCTAGCTATTATTTTATTTTTGTGCCATTATGTTACATTTTAAACACCATTTGTGGCATGTATTTGTCTATTCTTTATACATGGCAATTGACTTTGTCAAAAGCCCAATATGATGGCCTTCGTCTTTCTGTTATTACCCTTGTTTATACATGTCACCTGGGCTATCTGAACAGTATATCATTTTCTTTCTTGTGTCCAAAGAAAGAGTACTTTGTGCTTGCTTTTGATGGAAAATCCATTTATCCAAAGACCCATTACACATGTACACATAAACCAGAAGTCTGTTTGATCTTCCAGCATAATAACCAACAAATCTTACCAGACTAAAATGGTATCATCCAAAATTCATCAAAAAAAAGACCCAAATCCTCTCAACCAAGCTGGTTAATCGAACAGGAGATTCAATGATGAAGTTGTCTGTCCTTTCTTCTCTTCGTCTCAAATAATAATAGTATGCCCTGATAGCAGAAACTAGAAAAGCTGAAATAGTATTAAAAAAAATAAAATAACCAATAAAAGCAGAGGAATGTATTTGTATCAGATGTCTTAGATGGCAGAGTTGAGCTTTTGAACCTTGATGACTGTTAACACATAATAATTTCATAATTGAAATTGAGTGGCGTGGAAGTATTATTCTTCAGAGTGAAAAGTTCAGTTGGTAAAGAACAATTGCCAACTGCTCAGGCATCTGTATTGATAAAATGTGCGATATGACCGAAGTAAGTCACATTGTCAAGCTCTAAAGATTGGTGGAGCCGTATGTCTTGACATGACAAAAGGAGTAATCTGTTGACTGCTGAAAATATCCAGTATCTCCAGGACAACTGAATTCATTGTTAGAACAGTTCCCATATTGGTTAACTTTTTAGGCATTTGATTTTACTTTCCTTCCGTTAACAACGAGTATAATTGGTTAATTTTGATATAATACAATCAACAATAAGATTGTATTGGCTGACCAAATGAATGACTACAATACCATCAAAGACTTATTGCAGTTGACTACGATCTCTGATACTAATGTTGCTAAAATCTTTTAAGATTCTGTATATTAATATATTTTACTAGAATATTTCTAGAATAGATTACTTTATCTCTAGAATAAACTGAAGAGGAATGATCCTATTGATTTCAATCACTGCAAGAAATTTATACAATCATGAAAGTGTCAGAAAGACTATTTAAGTTTTTAGTCGTCAACAACTCGCTTTTAGTTGAACTTTTAACACCTGCACCAGTGTTAATTTTCTATTTGTAAAGCCATACACGCAATTGACATAAATGCATCACCGAGAGCACCACTGCTTCAAGTGACTTTCCACAAATACTAGTTCCATTGAACAAGTAAAGCCGGCAATCAGGTACAAGAGCAAAACTTATACAAATGGTCACCATAAATTGCGTAGTCACTTCCACTTTCTGCAGAAGAAAAAGTAAATTTGACTCTACCTGATTGGTTATGAGATTAATAGTTTATCGAATTTAACACTGCTCTCACTGTTGTTGTAGGCTACATGCCTTAAATTTGTGTTAGTGTTCACTATTTTGCTCCACATCAAGTGGCATGCAGCCATGAAAATATGTAGAAGAGGACAAATATCTGTAAGCAGAAACAGACATGAAAACCCCTCAGCTTAGTTCCCATATTCATTATCTATCTTAAATACATATCTGTGTTTTTAGTACTCTGATATTTGGAAGACTAAAGGTCAATGCAAGGAAATACTAGGAACAAATTCCCTCACCTTAGTTCTAACGTACCAAACTCAACATTCAGAATGACACTCCAGCAAGTTATTAACAAATAATTTCTTCAATTTCATACGCATCGAGTTACTGTCAGTAGCAGAACTAATTTGACCCTTATGCATCTTGTCCCTCTATATATAGTCAGAATATAGCTTATTAACAAGCATGAATCACCTCATTACTTAATTGTCTTCCCTGCATATTAGTATTGCTGCCTACATTTTGCTTCGAAATATCTTTCATGGCTCCTTTGGGCAAAACCGCACTTATCTTCGCTCTTGTGATTACTATCTTCTATATACCTTCTTTGGGAGCAAGAAGGGTCTTGAGCTTGGAGAAAATAAAGGTCCCTACCCTGGAGGACAATTTGGTTTCAAGTGCCTTTGATAAGGGCACTAAAACACCTCCTGGTGGAAAATTTGATTATAAATTGGCTACAGACGAGAGGTTGATTAAATGGACATTTCCCAGGATGACGAAATTCTGGATTCATCAGTTCCAAGTCCTGGAATTGGCCATAAGCCATGATTTCCTCTCAACTTCATTACCTATATAATATAATCGTTGAATAAGCTTATTCTTAATGTTCTATGTCAGTGTTATTTGATGTTGTTCTGTTGAAAAATGAAACTGAGTCCAGTCAGTGAGAATGCTATGTTGTGAGCACATATATGTATGTGCATCATTGATATCTAGCATTCAAAATGTTCATGTACTTTCTAATAATAGAATAATATACGCTAGCTGCTATATGCGCCTAGCTATTATTTTACTTTAGGGCCATTATGTGACATTATTTTAAACACCATTTCTAGGATGTATTGTCTAGCATCAGAATGATCATTGAATCTATTTGATGGTGAAATGGTCAATAACTATATATTAAGAGATTCAATGATAAAAATCAAGTTTTCGTTAATATTCAAGGGCTGACTTGGGATGCATGTGTTAGCACTACAAAAAAACCTACATTCTGCAATCAATTTTTTAGCAACTAACCAGAATTAGTTGCAGAAAGGCTTCATTTACCAGGTAAATTGTCATTAGTCGAGCAAAGATGATTAAAATTTCGGGGTTCACATGTTTCAACTTTTGACGTCTAAAATTAATGTTCTACGACTATTTTGTTAGTCGCAGAACAGATTGCTTTAATGACTAATAAATTTAGTTTCAATTTTTAGCAGGCGATTTTACCCTCCATAATTTGACAATTTACATCTAAAATATTATATTTTGCATCTTCATCATTGGTTACAAAAAACAATTTTTTGCAACTACCACTTAGTAGCTAAATTAGTTGCGAATAATTAGGAATTTATCAATAACTGTTGTGATTAGTTATAGAAAAATAAAATTACCAAAACATTCCATATTTGGATAATAATTACAAGGGCCCCAAGGTATTTTTAGCAACAAATGTTTGTGTTCATATTAACAATAGTTGCAAAAAATTATATACAGCAACAAAATTCGGTTTAGTTGTCAATTTAAGTTGAAAAATTCATGTTCCCCCCAAATTATTAGTTCCCGCCAGGCAACTATCGCTAATTCTTTTCTAACTAAATATTTAGTTACAAATTGATTTGTTTGTAAAATATAATTATATTTAAAAATTAAACAACTAATTAAAAGCCTTACTTTTTAAAGTTATTTACATAAAACCCTAACCTATATAAAGCAAGCCTTCCCTCAAATCCCCAATCTCTTCTCCACGCAAATCCCTACCTATTTCCCCAAATTTCCCAAACGCATAACCTTACCTAGCACTTCTCTTCTGGACGCGTCTTCATCTTAATCACGTTTGCCCGAATTTCCCAAACGCAGAACCTCACGTCATCTCTTCTTCACGCATCTTCATCTTTCAATTGATCTTCTTGGCTTCCTTCATTCATCCAATCTGCAGATATTATGTTAGGTTCACTAAAATGTAATCCAACCTGTTAAAACTTGAATGGATTCCTAAAACCCAACCCAAATTGCCCAGGTGGCTTGTTTTTCGTTTTTTGTTTATCCTTTTTTTTTTCGCACTTCTATAATATCTGCAGATAAATCAAAGCAGCTCACGCCTGAAACATTTGCTTGTAATATGATAGAGATTCGAGATTCTAGCATTTTTAGTATATGATATGTTAGAATGCTAAATTGATTATGTTGGTTCACAGGACTCTAAGCCTCTCTTGTTGTCAAATCTAAGGACTACAAAGATGAATGATGATGTTCTAGATATTGATGTTAGTCCTGATGCTAAGTATATTGCTACTGCACTTTTGGACTGCACAGTGAAGGTTTATTGTTTTCTTTAATACTGCCCAATTTGAATTTTTACTTTAGTTGTTTCTTTGGTTTGACTTGTGTATTGCTTTCAATATGTGGGATTATAGTAAGAATATCTAATTTATAATTTTTTGGTTTGAATCTTTAAAAAAAAAAATATTGTGTTTTCCATAGCTTCTTCTGTCTAACATAAGTCTTTTCTCATACAGGACTTGTAAATATGAATTAGGTTGTTTCATTGTAATAATCTTCCTATCTTTATGTTTGTCGTTAAGAGTATCTTCTCATTATGACTCCATTTTTCTCTTGTTACCATAAACATGTTGCGTTGCTGATGCATATACGTTCATTTTTCTTTTAGGTGTTTTTTTATGGATTCACTCAAATTTTTCATTTCCTTATATGGTCATAAGTTGCCTGTCCTACGCATGGATATTTCATTAGATGGAGATCTGATTGTGACTGGCACTGTAGACAAAAATTTGAAGATTTGGGGGTTGGATTTTGGTGACTGTCATAAATCCAGTTTTGCTCATGCTGATAGGTGATGCATTTATATAAATGAATAATGAGATTAGGTTCTAGTATATTGAATTTGAATAGTGCCATAGTAGAACCTGGAGTAAATTTGTTTAAACAACCTATTTCTGTGGCTGTGTCTGTGTCATGGCGATGCAATTTGTGCGCAATACCCATTACATGTTTAGTGTTGGGAAAGATCGCCTTGTCAAATACTAGGATGCTGATAAGTTTGAGTTGCTTTTAACTCTAGAAGGACATCATCCTGATGTTTGGTGTCTTGCGATCAGCAGCCGTGCTGATTTTATTGTCACAGGATCTCATGACCGATCTATACGTCGTTGGGATCGTACAGAAGAGCCATTTTTCATTGAGGTACTTTCTTGTCTCTGAGTATTACAGTGATAATGTGGTATTGAGAAAGTTATGCTATTGTTCCTTTCTCCTGATTGTAATCATGTTAAGCTTTGGCTTTTCTATTTTTTCCATAATTTTTGCCTGAGTGGAGTCCTGAAAATGCAGGAAGAGAAAGAAAAGAGGCTGGAGGAAATGTTTGAGTCCGACCTTGACAATGCAATAGAAAACAGGTATGCACCCAAGGAAGAACTCCCAGAAGAGGGAGCAGTGGCCTTAGCTGGGAAGAAAACTCAAGAAACCCTTACAGCAACTGATTTGATTATTGAAGCTCTAGACGTAGTAGAAGAAGAATTGGATCGTATTGCTCAACATGAGGTATAGTAACATTCCTTTTATCTAGCAACCATAGCACATCCTGATCTGATCTGTGCTTGCACTATTTTCTCCTAAGTCTTTTGAGGTATACTAATGTTCCCTTATGAGAGAACCACTACAACACTTATCAAAGAAGAAAGAGTTACTGTGCACTGTACTGCTTTTTGCCCTCTTTGATGAAACTCCCTCTCTCATAATGAAGAGAGGTAAGATAGGAGTTCATGAGTAGTTTCCCTCGGTTGCACAGTCAAATAATTAGTTTTATCTTGTTTTTTTAAGACAAATTTTAAGTCTGAATGTCCGTGTTATTGCTCTTAAAAAAGCATTGTTTTCCATAAATATGTTAATCATTAGGATCAAATGCTCACAATTTTTGCTTTAAATTCTCTATGTTAATCTACAATTACTAGTGCTTTTTGTTAAGTTTGTAGTTTTAAGAAACCTTATCCAGTCTTCTTCTTATTTCTTTTTTACGCGGTCTTACCCATAAGTTTTTGCTTTCTGCCTACTTTGTTGTCCTGTCTGTATCACATTTTTTACTTTTTCAAGTTCCAAAAATTGGTATCAGTTTTGTGATAATCTAGGACCTTGAGTCAAAAGGGTATAAGATTCAATGATATGTCTCTATTTAGAACTCAACACTTTCTAGAAAGATCAGAGCATATATATATATAATGCAGATGAAGTGTATGGAAGTGGGCAGTGTGATGCCAATCTCGTATTCAAAATACAGTTGCTATAATAAAATATGGGCTGACTTTAACAGTAACTTATAACATTTTTATTGCATTTGATACTTTATTTTTGTGATTTTCAGGAAGAGAAAACCAGGGGAAATGTTGCTGAGTTTCAACCAGATATAAGAATGCTTGGGCTCTCTCCCTCAGATTATGTTCTCCGTACACTCTCAAATGTTAACACTAATGATCTGGAGCAGACCTTGCTGGTAAGCAATAGCGCTTCATTCATTTTCTTGCCATCGCACATAGTATTATGTTCTCTGGATAGAAAGAAAGCAATATAAATAGGGGAACCAAATGTTATCAATTTCATTGTGCTAAATTATTTACAATTAGCATTCATGTAGTTGACTAGTAACCTTTTGTAGGTTAGTTTTATTATCAGCTTATTTAATATCTTGGGTCTGCATTTCCCATGTTTCAACTGAAGCTCTAGATTAACTGCTCTGCATATGTAAGTTGCCAAGTTAGGGTGCTTATCAAAATGTTGTATTTAGCTTATATCTCATCACTGTCACCACAATTAAATTCTTATTTTGTTGGAGTTTGGTATATTTTTTTTTTCCCTCTCTACCTCAAAGATGCTAGTTTTTGGCTCACTTGGAATAAATAAATAAACTAGTAAGAAATCCAGTGCATCTATAATAGTCTCATACTATGTGGGTTCAGAAACCATTGCTAATCAGACAAAGGAGAAAAAGAAGAGGAAGAAAAATTGGACCTTTGCTTCTAAAAGTCAAAAAAGTTTTTGTCAGGCATGTAAAAAATTCACATATTTTCTCATTGGGTGAGTAAAAATAGTTTTTACAGTAGTTCTTGGATTGTTGAGGTAATCCATTTATCATTTTTACTGTTGATCAATTTCTAATTGAAAGTTTGATATTTATTTTCTGTTCAGGCGTTACCATTTGCAGATGCTCTGAAGCTTCTGTCATACTTGAAGGATTGGGCTTCCAATCCTGATAAGGTTATTCTATTCGCACTTTGGAATATATAGAATTTTTGGCATTTGTAGTGTTACAATTGAATATACTGCCTTTTGTTATGTAAATTAAGTTATGGCCTGTCATGTTTCTTTCCATTCTTAATTTTTTACCCTTGCATTCCATCTCATTCTTAGTTTGATCATTGGCATGCTTGAAGTTTAGATTGATAATCTGTGAGATGCTTGCTTTTCTACTCCATCAATTTTATTTTTGTTTGGTGCTGCAGTATATTCTGTGAACTTTGAGTAGTCTTTCTTTTATGTTGCTATTTAGTTTCTTGGTTGATTTATTGATTATGCATTGAATTGATGGTAGGAAAAAATGATAAGAGCTGTGAGAAGAAACACAAGTAGGGGAAAGTGAAAAAACAGAAGCTGAAATATGTGAGGAAGTTCTGGATAAAGCTTCCGGATTTAACCAAAATTTTGCACTTTCATAGACTGAGCATCATTCCACTTCAGTAGAAGTAGAGTTAAGGTGCATTGTGCAACAGCAAGAAAATAAGATTAAATAGTTGGAGGAGCAGCTCATCTTATTTGATCAACAAAAAGAGAAAATAAAAAGCCTTGAACAACAACAATTTGTCCTGTTAGAAATGATGAAGCAGCTAACTATAGCCCTTGAACCAGAGAAATCTGATAAAGCTCCAACTCGACAGCCTTTGCCATCTCCAACTGATGAAGACTCGTTCTCATCAGCTACAGCTATTTCAAAAACCGCAACTGGTGACACTTGACATGCTAACAGTATTGATGGTTAGTTTTTTATTGTATGGGCAGTAGATATTTTGACATAGGGGTAGAACCATCTTTTTAGGATTTTTTGCATATATCTGTTAAATGGTGTACATAGGGTGGGCATTTTTTTGTTAGTTATGCACAGATAGATAACTAGTGGGGAAAATGTGGGTGCATGCTTTTTTTTTTTTTGGTTATGCACATGTGATAGTGCATTTTGGATTTTTATTGATCATCATGCATAAAAATCCATGTATGGATTATATATATATATATGATGCTAGTGATCAGATTTTTATATTATGTCAATTATTTTGTTGATGTTGAATATATAAACTAGGTCGATATGAAATGCTCTAAAAAAAAAACACATTCTGCAACTAATTTTTTAGTAGCAAAAAGTAATTTAGCATAATTGCATTCCGCTGAAGGTCAATACGAAATGCTCTAAAAAAAACATATTCTGCAACTAATGTTTTAGTAGCAAAAAGTAATTTAGTATAATTGCTTCCACATTCAGCGTCTAAAATGATTAGAATTAACCACTAAATTTTGGTCACCAAAAGATACATTCATCTACTAATAAAATAGTCGTGAAAACCTTTTGGATTTCACATAAATCCATTCAGCGTCTAAAATGATTAGAATTAACCACTAAATTTTGGTCACCAAAAGATACATTCATCTACTAATAAAATAGTCGTGAAAATCTTTTGGATTTCACATAAATCCATTCAGCGTCTAAAATGATTAGAATTAACCACTAAATTTTGGTCACCAAAAGATACATTCATCTACTAATAAAATAGTCGTGAAAACCTTTTGGATTTCACATAAATCCATTCAGCGTCTAAAATGATTAGAATTAACCACTAAATTTTGGTCACCAAAAGATACATTCATCTACTAATAAAATAGTCGTGAAAATCTTTTGGATTTCACATAAATCCATTCAGCGTCTAAAATGATTAGAATTAACCACTAAATTTTGGTTATCAAAAGATACATTCGTTCACTAATAAAATAGTCACGAAAACCTTTTAGATTCCACATTTAGCGTCTAAAATGATTAAGGGGTGTTTGTTTGAGCTTATGAAAATTAGATTATAAGCAACAAGTGCTTATAAGCTAATTTTAGCTTATAAGTATTTGAAATTTTAAGCAATTACATGTTTGGTTAAAGTACTTATAAGTGACTAATAAGTAGTTGAAGTGTTTGGTAAAATGTGACTTATAAGTACATTTTATTATAAAATGACTAAAAATAGTACTACACTAAATAAGGGTATACTATAGAATTTTAAAATTAAACAAGAATAATGTGGTAATATACTTGATCAAACTAGCTTATAAACAAAGTACTTATAAGCCCAAAAAAAAAAAAAGTACCTCTCCCCCAAATTTTTTTTTTTTTTTTTTTTTTTTTTTTGGCCTTATAAGCTCAATTTATAAGCTCAAAAAAGTTAAAAACAAACAGTCAGTTTACGTTGAGTTTATAACTAGTTTGACCAGCTTATAAGCTAGACAAACACCCCCTAAATTAACCACTAATTTTGGTCACCAAAATACATTCGACCACTAATAAAATAGTCGTAAAAACCTTTTGGATTCTACATTCACGTTAAAAGTATTACAATTAATCATCAAATTTTGGTCACCAAAATACATTCGTCGACTAATAAAATAGTTACGAAAACCTTTTACGAAATTACCCTTATACCTTTAGAGTCAATTTTTATGGCATTCGCACAAATTATTAGACACTAAAAGGTATATTTGCAACTAATTGATTAGTCGCGATATCTTTTAACCAAATTACCCTTGAACAATTAGCGTCTAAGTAGGGGGACTATTTTAACCAGCAATTAGCGACTAATTTGTTAGTCACTAAAAAAAAACTTTCCGCGTCTAAACAAAAATTTAGATGTGCATACATTCTACGACAGCGATTTTGCAACTACGTAGCGATTACGAAATTTAGACGCGAAATATGGTTTAGCATCTAAATTTTACTTTCTACGTCTAATTTTGCTAGATGCCCAAAGAAATTTTTCTTGTAGTGTAGTTGGATAATGAAAGGACTATTAGAATTAAGGAGTTTCAAGTTACCACTATCGCTATGAGAGGGCGTGTAACTTTAGAAGTATGTATAATCATCTACATCGCTCAATATCAAATCTCCATTATCAGCAGTAAATTCAAGAATGGCATTCTGTGGACAATCTCCATTGGCAGACCAAAGAATAACTGGTGCAAGTTTATCTAGTCCCATTAAGATTTGTATAGATAATTAAGAGTAGAATGGTCTTTTCTTAGCTTGTATATAAACTCCTTTACTTTGTGCCATCTTTAGAGGTTTTATTCTAGCAGTATGAAATCTGTAGTCTCTTTTTCCGTTTTCTCCTTTGATTCTTGATTTCCATTGAATAGACTAACAAGTTCGACTGATGACCTTTGTTATGCTTAGACTTTTCTTTAATTTGCAAATAGTCTGTGAATGGCTTTTTGCGATGTGTGGATCCAGTGGGTTAAAGATACACCTCAACTCCAAATACTACCTGGAACTTGTCACTCAAACGTTTATAACTAATAGAAAAGTAAAATCCTGCGAGTTAGGTCCAAAACTAATAATGTGGAGCAGAATTTGTGATCCCATTGACATTATTTACATAAATATCTCTGTTTATTCCATTACGTTTGTCCAATTATCTTGTAAAGGGGGCCGGGGTTACTGAAGAAATAAGCATATTAACTCACACGTTTAGACTCGGGACAAAGCTTACAACAACTAGTAAACAAAGTTCCACAGCGAGTCCAAATTTACCTAACCCAACAATCACAGGGCATTTCATGGCACACGTCTAGTGATTAACAGTAACCAAACTAATTTGACCTTAGTGCCTCTCTATTGGAAACAAGTATAAGAAGTAGGGTTGTTTCTGCAAAGATTAGAACTTGAGTAGGGTTGTTTTTGTAAAGAAACAAAAGTTGTCACCACATGGTGCTTCTATATACAATTGTAACAGACTATATAAAGTCATCTGTAACTAACTCTTTTAATAAATTCAGAAACAGAATTCCAGAAACAGATTGAACTAATTTTTCTCTCTTTTCTCTCAATTCATTCACTTCTTTTAATTTCCTTTCCAATTCCGCTATTAATCTTTCATGGTATCAGAGCTATAGACAAGCGTCAATGGCTTCGAATCCTGATTTCTTCGATGTTCCGTCAAAATCTAAAGTTGAATTAGCTAGAAATGCAAACGCAAATAGCTCAATTGTTCACTCTACACTTCCCACAATATCAGTAAAACTTGTGGAGAAGAATTACAATCATTGGCGGTCACAAGTTTTTCCAGCTTTAGCTTCTCATGACCTCGAAAGCTTTATCACCGGTGAGAACATCTGTCCATCTGTGTTTCTTTTTGAAAAACTTGTTAATTCTGATGAATTAGTGAAAAAGCTAAACCCTAAGTATCTTAACTGGAAAAGAACAGGTCAGTTTTTAGTTAGTTGGCTATTTTCATCAATCTCTGAATCTATGTTCAGATATGTAGCTAAATGTGTTAGTGCATATGAAATATGGAACACTCTAGAGTTGCATTTTCAATCAATTTCAAAGGCTAGCACACTGCACTTAAGGGACATGTTACAGACTACAAAAAAGGACTCTTTAAGCATTAATGAGTATGTTCTGAAAATGAAGGAATTAAGGGATGAGTTAGTAGCAAGTGGTGTTAACATTGGAGAAGAAGAGTTGCTTTTGTATATACTGGATGGTTTAGGACTAGAGTACGATGCTATTGTGGTAAATTTGACATATCATAGTAGTAATGCAACCATTCAACAAGCTCAATTCATGCTTCACAAGCATGAAATGAGACTGGAAAGACAACACTCGGTTCTGTCAAATTTTCATGAGCATTTAAATTATGCCCTATTTGCTTCCAAACAAGAAAACACCAACTGCTCAAATCCTCTGACTAATTCATCTAGTCAAAGAATGATTGTACCATTTCATGCTCAAGCTGTTGGTCATGGATATTCACACAGCTTCGGTGTCAAATTCCAAATTCTGGTCCAACTCCTGGTTCAGTATATCCTATAGCAAGTAGTATTGATTTTGGACAGAATAGTTATCAAGGAAAAATTATGGCAGAACCGGTTACTCACCAAACACACAACAACACTCTGCTGGACATTTTCAGTTTCAAAATAACATGATAAGAGGCAGGGGCAGAGGCCGAAGCTACTTTAAGCCAAGACTAGTATGCTAAGTATGTGGCAAATCAGGCCATGCTGCCATCCAATGTTACCACCGTTTAACAGAAGTATTAAGGTTTTACTACCAATTCTTACAGCCCTCAGATACAGCCTAATTTGTACAATTCAATAGGTCCCTCTCCAACTGTCATTACTGAACATACTATTGAACCTACACAAGCCTTAATTGTATCAAACTACATACAACACCCAAACTACACACAACACTCTACCAATACCTTTCACAACAATTTTGCTGACTTTCATGATTACTCAACGTCTCTTATGCCTAAATCAAATGCACCACCTCTTGCAAATTTCTCTTCTGCACCACATCAAAAATACTATCCTAGTACCTCAACCAATCCTGATCATTCTGTTAGCTTTACACCAAAAATAGCTACCAATGAAGCACCTCAGTCTTCAGCAACCTCTTATCAAGCAGTAGCCTCTCCACAAATTCTGTAAGATCAGTCCTGGTATATGGACTTTGGAGCTTCAAATCACATGACTGCAAATGGTTCCAACTTGGTGTTCAAAATTGCTCACTTAGGAGGTTCAGAGGTACAAGTTGGGAATGGGGAATCCATCCCTATTACTCATATAGGTATGATGTTGGTACCTTCTTATGACACAACTAGATTGATTCATCTTAAGAATGTACTATGTGTTCCCAATATTGCAAAGAACTTACTAAGTATCTCTCAAATCACTAAAGATAACAATGTCATTGTGGAGTTTCATTTTGACCATTGTTTGGTAAAGGATAAGTGTAGTAGAGTTGTTCTTCTTCAAGGCACAGTCAAGGATGGATTGTATCAGCTTGAATTGTCACAGTCTGTCAGCTCACTGGTTCATCAATCATCGAGTTCAGCTTTATACCTTCCTGCTGCTTATCAGTTTTCAGAGACTTCTCATGCTTCTATCACAGCTATGGTCAAT